AAATAAATAAATAAATAAATAAATAATGCTGTAAATGCTTCATGCTTGATATAGGGCAGATAGTTCAGTCTAAAATATTATGGTACTCAATATTCAAAATAACTGAACATGTGATTGACCTCCAAAATTTATTTATTCATCATTTGTGTTTCTATTTTATTTTATTGTGTGCAGTATAGATGTGTTGAAGATTTAGTGTGTTCTATTTTCACTTGATAATCTTAGTAATGTTTCTTGGGAATTTTCTGCGGTGTTACTCTAGTGTATTCAGTAGTCTTGCTGTAGAAATTGCTATGACAACAGTGATGCAAGAGTTATTCCTTCAGGAATCTAGCTGTGATAACCAGTCACTTCAAAACATTCTTATTCTCTTGTGTTTTATGTTAGGTTAATAAAATGACCCTGCAGATATAATGGAATAAAAATCCAAAGTGCCTGTTTTATGAGGAAATGAGAATTAAATGTATATGGCATATTCTTGTGGTATTTTTTGACTGAAAGTTTGCCTTACATTACAATGTTCAAACCTAGAGTGAAAAACTAAGAGAAAAGTAGGTAAAACCAAAAATGGCAGGCTCAAAGTACAGTATGCAGTAATGTATGTTTGAAAATTAAAAATTAAACAGTCTTATCAATGTTACTTGGATATCTGATAGTCATTGCTGCTATGGACAGAAATTTTAGTCAGTGAAGACTTGTTCCATGCAGACAAAATGTAGAAGCAAGAGTGTAGCAGTAGGATGTCAGCATAGCAGAAACAGAAGATAGCTACCTGTCCTGTTATCAGGAAGGGGTAGTACATATCAGGGCCAGCAAACAAAGGCTTACCAGAATGTGAAGTAAATCAAATGTAGGAGAGTCAGAGTTCCAGACAGTAACTCAAACTACATCAAGAGCCAAATAGGGAGAGCCCAGAAGTATAGTTAGATATTCTGTAGTAGTACACATCAAGAAGTCAGCAGCAAAAGTAGATGTAAGATTGATCTAGAGTAGAAATGGGGGTATTCGTATTTGTAGACAAATACGAATGTCCCCCTGCAGGTGGAAATAATGAGGGTCCACTCACCGTTTGGCCTTTGCTGCGGGTGCAGCAGTGCCTTCCTATCACGCTGTGCTCCACAGTGGATTAGCCACTCCTAGCTGGAAGTGGGATGACAAGCCTCTCTGTCAGGTCACAGAATGTGTAATTCGTTGTGGAGCACAGCGTGATAGGAAAGTGTTGCTGCGCCCGTGGCAGCAGCCGAATGGTGAGTGGATGGTCCGGCCCCGTGGGGCCAGACCCTTGTTATTTCCACCTGTGAGCGGATATTTGTATTCATCTATGAATACGAATGCCCCCATCTGTAATCACAAACCAGAAAAACCACAAATAGTTGAGCTGCAAGAGCCCCACCCTGGGTTCAGCTGCAGGCATTTGGACAGCTGGTAGGAGAGCTCAGCTGCAGGACTTGGCTTGCTGGTCTCCCCCGTAGGAAGAGCTTTTCGTAAGAGGGGCTACCATCTTTCCCTGCATATGAGCACTTTGTCTTGTAGCCTTTCTCTGGGCTCATGACATTTACCTTCAGTGTAAAACAAAATAAAAACATGGGTTGGGAGGAGTGCACCAATAAAACTTTGCAAGAGTTGAGCTACTATGTCAAATGCAGTATTGACTGAAGGTTTCTTAAAAGGTCAGTTGTAAGTGAGCAATATTTGAAACTGACAAGAGATGTAGTTGTCTTAAGTAGCAGAGAGAACACCCTGGCTACATCATGTGGGTTTTTTTTCTGAATAAGCATATTGGAATGTAGTCTGAACCAGTGGAAACTTAAAGCTTCCCGAATTATTTATTCATATGTGATATGGTCAGACATGAATGACTGGTGAAATGACAGCATTTATAGGAATATGTTTGGCAAGTATGTCAGCCCTATCTGCAAGCATAAATATGAACCATCTTCCATAGTGAGAGGGACAGATGGATCTTTGCTTTCCAAGCTAGGTTTGCAAAAGCTACATTTGTAGGATTTATTTTGTTTTGGAATCTATAGGCTGCAGGAGTCCACTGCATTTATTGTGTTCTTTTTAACAAGAAGCAATTGTAGTTTTTGATATGTACATGGAATACAGTATATGGTGCTCATTACATAATACTGTACTATTTTTATTATTCTGATGGGCCTTAGGATGATATTGGTAAAATGAACTGGAAATTCAGTGTAGTCTTAGATTGCAGGCTTATGCTAACTTTCCTGAGCGTGAATTCAACTAATACTTTCTTTTGATTAGTCTTGTGTAGGACTGCACTGTTAATGTCTTTGAGTGTCTCAAAACATGGCTTTTGCCTTATCTAAAAATGGAATTCTATGTTGTGTCCATATGGGAATTATCTTCCATTTGTAGGCATTCCCATGTTTACCCATCACAATTTCCCTTGTTTTGTTTACCGGGGGGGGGCAGACTTGAAGGAAAAAGAGATGATTTAGGTGAACAAAACTTTTTTATATACAGTATATAGTTAGAAACCCTTGGTCTGAAATCACCCTTCAGGACAGTGACGGAGAAGAGGCCAGTTTCATAATTAGAAGTAGAAACTTCAGGTTCCTTAGAAGGGCATCCACCCAGATCACTGTTTTGCCCTAGATACCTAGGTGTTATTTTGGATCATGTCCTGTAAGAAACACTGCTAAAACAAAAAGCAAAAGGTCTGCTCAAAGAATAAAATATTTCTAAAGCTCTCAGAAACCAGTTGGGACACGCACAACCACAAACATTAAGAACCTCAGCTTTGGCCCTATAAAACTGTGCTACTAGCAGTTAAAAGTGAAACACTTAACCATCTTAATCAAATATGCATTTGCTTATCAGCGACCATCCCACCTCTCCCAGATTAAAATTAAGGAAAAGTTTTTGCAAGGCATCTGAGAATCCTAAAGAAACAGCAGGATTACTATAATATGGCAAAAATATTAAAATGCATAGAACCCCAGGAAAGTCCCGCTCTGGTCACACACACACAACTGGGTAACTTCAAAGTCACTTAATAATAGGCTATGGATTGGAGTCGGCAGAACCAAGGGTGGCTTAACAACTTGAGGTTTTTGCACTGACTTAGTCCTTGTGGAGAAGAACAAGGAAGTTCACACTTATGTTTGTTTATTCTGTGCCTCTCAACTGTGGAAGACTTGATGTTGCCAATTATTGGGCCAAAATTATCTAATATACCTGCTATATGAAAAACTAATGCTTGCTTTTTTTTCTTTGTATCAGAATCATGAAAGTACAATTCATTTATTTGTTTAGCATTTATAACGCCCATTCAATGAAAAAATGCTGTTCTGTTGTAAGCTGTCCAGAGCAGTGGTTTTTCACTGAATGAATGGTATGTACAGTATGTATATATGTAAGATTTTGTTTTGTTTTACAGATGTTTGGGCAGGTCTGCAAACTGCAAGTGTAGTTATTGCTTTTATTCTGTGATTGGTTTTCAGGTGATAGGATTAATTTACAAGGTGATTTATAAAAATATTGTGGAAAAGTGTATTCCTAGGTATAATGTTTCATCATCATCTAACTTTGAAGTAGCCATGTTGTCTCTTTCTGCCTTCAGTGGCTACTGTTAGAGAGTGATTTGAAATCGGTTTATTATCACCTGGGTTGTAATAAATGCGTTATGTGAGGGTGAAAAAACATGCTAATGTTTCTTCAGTCCATGTTGATAAAGGAGTTTGGAAATGTAAGAAACAAACATTTTCTTTTTTCCTCCCTACCTTGCAGGCCGAAACAACTACCACCACAGCAGAACAACTTTTCCTTGTTTCCTTCTGCAAAAGCCTGGAATTTCAGAGGGGTAAGGTATTTTTGTTTTAGGTGGTTGATTTATTTCAGAGTTTACTGTTTTGAACTATTATTTCCATCCGCCAGAAGTAAATTTATAGCAAATTAAGGTAAAGTAATTTTGCAAACTAAAACTTGTAAAGACTCTAAACATGCAATCTAAAGAAGAGCTGCTTGACTTGCACCTTTCTCAGGGAGTCATGATATTGTAGCAGGCCCTGTGTGATGCTTCATAAGATGTAATTTTGTGTTGGGTGATTTTTTTTTAAATCATCAGTTTATCAGAAAATAAGAAAATTTATTATTTTCACCTAGACTAAGGCATGTATGTGTATCCACTCTATGGATGGTGAAAAATAGGGGTGTGCCATATTTTTGGAATCTCAGAATTTTCCAGCCTACAAACACATATCTATAAATACCTACATAGGGTAGGAACAGGGCCTATCTCAGAGGCTTCTGAGGACTGTTGTTCTTGTTGTTAATGTATAAAGAGGAAACTGCCCCATTGGATACTTGTGTCTTCATAGAGTGCGTAGTTCTTTGGGACTACACCTCTATAGATTATAATGGGTAGGAAGACTTAAGCCTTCCAGGAAGCACCAGGAGAGTTTCATTTGTTGCACTCTGACAACAGGAAACACAGGCCTCCGAAGCCTCTAATATAAGTCCTGTTCCAGGTGAGTGAAACATTGGTATCTGCATGTGTGTGTCTATGGGTTGGAGCTCCTGGAATGCTGCCTGGGAAATTATGGGAGTTGGAATCCAGAAAGAAAAAGGCACACCCCAAGAGAAGAACATCTGAGCACATTCTGCAGAAAAATATATATGTTCCAATGGGTATGCCTTACAAGAAGATTGTTAGTGAATGCTATAATATTATATATCTTAATATTTTGTATATTTACCTAATTATGAGCAATTTTTACCTTGAAGAGTAATGATAATTCAGTTGAACAGGTACTCAGTTGAAAGTACCTAGAGATCTGATTTCAGCTAAATTTGAACTGGGCTATTTAGTAACAAAGGCAAAAGTCTTTGACTGTGTGGACCACAACAAACTATGGCAAGTTCTTAAAGAAATGGGAGTGCCTGACCACCTTATCTATCTCCTGAGAAATCTATATGTGGGACAGAAAGCAACAGTTAGAACTGGATATGGAACAAGTGATTGGTTCAAAATTGAGAAAGGAGTACGACAAGGCTGTATTTTGTCTCCCTGCTTGTTTAACTTATATGCAGAATACATCATGCAAAAGACAAGACTGGTGGAATCCCAAGCCAGAATAAAGATTGCTGGAAGAAATATCAACCTCAGATATGCAGATGATCCCACTCTGATGGCAGAAAGTGAGGAGGAATTAAAGAACCTCTTAATGAGGGTGAAAGAGGAGAGCGCAAAAAACGGTCTGAAGCTCAACATAAAAAAAACTAAGATCATGGCAACTGGTCCCATTATCTCCTGACAAATAGAAGGGTAAGATACGGAGGCAGTGACAGATTTTACTTTTTTGGGCTCTATGATCACTGCAGATGGAGACAGCAGCTGCGAAATTAAAATACACCTGCTTCTTGGGAGGAAAGCAATGAGAAACCTAGACAGCATCTTAAAAAGCAGAGCCATCACTTTGCTGACAAATTGTGGTGCTGGAGGAGAATCTTGAGAGTCCCCTGGACTTCAAGGAAATCAAACCTATCTGTTTTGAAGGAAGTCAACCCTGAATGCTCACTGGAAGGACAGATCTTGAAGCTGAGGCTCCAATACTTTGGCCATCCGATGAGAAGAGAAGACTCCCTGGAAAAGACCCTGATGTTGGAAAGTGTGAGGGCAAGAGGAGAAGGGGATGGCAGAGGATGAGATGGTTGAACAATATCATTGAAGCTACCAACATTACTTTGACCAAACTCCGGGAGGCAGTGGAAGACAGGGAAGCGTGGCGTGCTCTGGTCCATAGGGTCACGAAGAACTGGACACGACTTAGCAACTAGACAATAACAATTTATTAATGTGTGTGTAGAAAGACTGCAACTCTGAATAACACAGTTACTGCAAGCAAATGGTAAACTAATTGACAGAAAATACTAATTGTGTGTAACCTTGGACCTTTCTGTGGGATGTTCAAGCAAAATCAAGGAAGAGTCTTGTGGAAGCTTGAAGGCAAACAAGTTTTAATTTAATTTGCACAAGTTTTTGTGTACTGCCACATAATTCTTCAGATGTTTTCTGAAGTAGGCTGCAGTCCACGAAAGTCTGTGCTAAATAAAACCTGCTAGTCTTTAAAGTGAGGCCAGGACATTTTGGAGATTAGTCATTTATAGGGTCATAATGAATTACCCTGTTTCCTCGAAAATAAGACATAACCTGAAAATAAGTCGTAGTATGATTTTTCAGGATGCTCGTAATATAAGCCCTACCCCCAAAATAAGCCCCAGTTGAGTGAAATCCCAGCCTTGTGCAGCAACCTGAAGAAGATGACAGGACTGTACAGTATTTGAATCAATATAGATTGCTGTACATGAAAAAATAAGACATCCCCTGAAAATAAGCCCTAATATGTCTTTTGGAGCAAAAATTAAGACCCTTTCTTATTTTGGGGGAAACAGGGTAGAAGCTACATGATGGCATATAATAACAACAGTCATTAAAGTGCTCCAAGACTCTTTATTCATTTTGCTGCTACAGACTGACATGGTTGCTCCCTTAGAAATATCAGTATTTCATAGGGGTTACCCCGTTAATGTTCATTAACTATATTAAACTGTTTTTTTGTTGTTTTTCCTTCTTTTCAGCTAGTTTCTGAAGTTTGCTGCTTAATTCTGTGTGCTGCAGTTTGAAGATCTGAAGGTCTTAGAATATGTTTTTCTACAAAGTCATATTTTTGGCATTTGAATTATTCCAAACATATTTTAGAATTTTCTTTCTATCCACTAGATATCCAAGATCTGTTGGTAAACTTTTATATCCAGTCTGGATCCAACAACAGTAGTCAGGACTTTGTTCCCTGTCTTTCTCCATGCATTCTTCTGCTCAGACAAAAAAAGAGCTCTAGTGGAGTTGGTACCCCTTTAAGTACAATTTTAGGGTGAAATGCTGGGGGAAAGGGGGGAATAGGGATTGTTAATTTTGGCCAAAGCATCAGCTTTCAATGGATTGTGGCCAATATTGGTAGATGTATCCAGCTACCAGAGTGTTGATTGCGATACTGATCACTCCCTGGTGTGTAGTAGGGTAAAGCTGCGAACAAAGAGATTGTATCACACGAAAAAAGAAGGAAGACATTTATTGACATCAGCAAGACTCGCGATCAATGAAAAGTGGAGGAATTTGCTGAAACGCTTGAGGATGATGCAAATACACCCGAATGATGAGAACATTTCAAGAATGCTGTGTTTAACACCGCCTTCTCCACATTTGGCAAGAAGACCAAAAAGATGGCCGACTGGTTTGAAGCCCACTCGGAGGAGTTGATGCCAGCCATCGAGGATAAGAGGAGAGCTCTAGCAGCATACAAAGCCTGTCGTAGTGAATACAACTTGCAAGCTCTTCAAGCTGCTCATAGCCAAGTCCAACAGGCTGTTCCAACAATTATTGGCTTCAGCTCTGTTCTCAGATACAGATAGCAGCAGACACAGGTAACATCAAAGGAATGTATGACAGTATCAAGGAGGCTTTAGGTCCAATACAAAGAAATCTCCTCCCTTGAAGTCTGCTACAAGTGTGATCATCCAGGACCGAGCATAGCAGATGGAACGATGGGTGCAGCAGTACTCTGAGCTATATTCTAGATAGAATGCAGTAACCGAAGAAGCATTAAATAACATTGAGTGCCTGCCTGTCTTGGAAGAGTTGGACAGCAAACCAACTTTAGCAGAAATAAAAGCAGCCTTGGATTCCCTTGCCTCTGGCAAGGCACCTGGAAAGGATAACATTCCTGTTGAAGAGCTGTAGAGATCATCACCAGCGAGCTGTATGAAGTCTTTTGTCTCTGCTGGAGGGAAGGTGGAGTACCCCAGGACATGAAGGATGCAAACATCATCACATTGTACAAGAACAATGGAGACAGGAGCGACTGCAATAACTACCGTGGCATCTCTCTTCTCAGTGTTGTAGGGAAGCTTCTTGCCCATGTTGTGCTGAAGAGACTCCAGGTGCTTGCAGACAGAGTCTGTCCAGAATCACAGTGTGGATTTTGAGCTAATAGATCCACCACTAACATAGTATTCTCCCTCAGACAGTTGCAGGAGAAATGTAGGGAACAACAGCCACTCTTTGTGGCCTTCATAGATCTCACAAAGGCTTTTGATTTGGTTAACAGGGATGTCCACCTCGACTCCTTAACATCATCAGGTCCTTTCATGAGGAAATGAAGGGCACTGTAGTTTTTGATGTCTAAACATCAGATCCCTTTGACATCCAAAGTGGAGTGAAACACTCTGCTGAAGACCTCCAACAACACATGAATCATTTTAGCAAGGCCTGCGAAGACTTTGTACTAACAATCAGCTTGAAGAAAAGATAAGTCATGGGCCAGGGCATGGACTCACCACCCTCTAATACCATCTCCATGCAAGAATTGGAGGTTGTTCATGATTTGTGTACCTTGGCTCAATGACCTCTGACACACTCTCCCTAGATGTCAAGCTGGATAAATGCATTGGCAAAGCAGCTACCATGCTCTCAAGACTCACAAAGAGAGTATGGCTCAGTAAGAAGCTGACGGCATATATCAAGATACAGGTCTATAGAGCCTGTGTCCTGAGCACACTCCTGTACTGCAGTCAATCCTGGACCCTTTGTGCACGGCAGGAGAGGAAGCTGAACACATTTCATATGCGTTGCCTCTGATGCAGTTTTGGTATCACTTGGCAGTATAAAGTTCCAAATAGAGTAGTCCTCGATCGAGCTGAAATTTTTAGCATGCATACATTACTGAAACAACGACGTCTACGTTGGCTTAGGCAAGTCGTGAGAATGGCTGATGATTGTATTCCAAAATATCTCATATATGGAGA